CTTTTATCTGATGTAGACAACCTCCAAAATTTATAAGGACATTGCTTGATTACCATCCTGTCCCACAAAAAAAGGGGGCAAAAAAAACAAGGCTGTGAAATTGCTTAAAGGGGAGCATTATTTTTAAAAGATCAGAAATCACTGGCTCACCTTGGGCACTGGCTCCTGTCTCCCTCTCCCTTGATGCCTCTGATACAGAGGGAGCAGAAGGTGTGGGGGGTGTAGCCGTTAGAGTTAACTGATGAGCCTAGGCTTATCAGTTAATTGTGTAAATAACTACACACTAACACCTCTAATAAACACCCGCTAAATCGGCCACTGATCATGCTCCCATGTCCTATCGACTCTAGTACTCCACTGGAGAGAGAAGAGTAAGGGGAGTCAGTGGAAGAATTTCTCCTGTCAAACCCCACAGTTTGGGGGGAGGGATAAGTCAGTGGTTTGAGCATTGGCCTGCTAAACCCAGGGTTATGAGTTCAGTCCACGAGGGGACCATTTAGGGATCTGGGGCAAATCTGTCAGGGATGGTACTTGGTCCTGCTGTGAGGGTAGGGGACTGGACTCTTAAGGTCCCTTCCAGTTCTATGAGATGGTATCTCTCCATATATTATATTAGTGGAGATGCCACAGTAAGTTGAACTAAGGTATGTTGACTCCAGCTACTCTATTCACGTAGCTGGAGTTGTGTACCTTAGTTTGATGTGCCCCCCCCCTTTTTTAGAGCTGGCCTAAGCATGAAGAGAATTGGCTATAGATGGCTGCTAATTAGAAGGTTTTTATCAACCATATCAGATCCAAGAGTGGTCTCTCAGGCACATAAGTGCACACCTATCCTGCTGGCAGTTTCACCAGCTTAGCTGGCTGACAGCTCCTAAAGGTGGGCAGCATGCTGCTGTTTAAAAAAAAAAAAAAAAAGCACTGTACTTTGTAAATCTGAATGGTGCCGTCCCTGTCAAAAAGGCATTGCTAGTTTTCAGGGATCATGGTCATCCTGGGTTTTTTTGAAAAATTGAAGTTATTCATTTACATTAATGTATAATGTATTGTAAACATGGTGGATAAGACAGATTGTTTACTTGTTTCTTGGGTCGAGGGTGAGAGAGTGGTAGTTGGAAATGCATTGCATACCTGACAAAATAAAGACAAAAATAGTCTGCTCTGGATAACATAACTCTTTCAGATTAGCACGCCTTGTTAAGAGTCACCAACTAGCTGTGGCAACAGTTCCAAAAGTGGTGGTGTGCCTGTTGCTTCTTTTTGTGTCCTATATGAGTATTCTCCTACGTGTATCTGTATTCCTGTGCTGCTGATCAGAGAGTTTAGGTAACCATATTCATTTGGCCCATATTTGTGCTATCTCTCCTCACTGCACACAGGCCAACCATCCTCAGGTCTTTCTCAACTGTCCCTGGCCAGAGACAGAGCCTTATGCTGTCCACTAGCAGATCAGTAGCACCCCTTTTCAGTTGCTAATCTTTAGCTTTTAGAAATCCTTTAGCCTTCTTTGACTTTTATTTGCCCGTGCCCTTAAATAAATAATAAAAAGGTACGACAAGACTTTATTCTTTTGTTGATCCCTGGTGTGAGGGAACACCTCTGGAAAAGGGGATGTCTGGCTCTCCAGGTGTCTAGAAGCGTCGCACTTGCAGCAAGGTAATCCCAATTACAGACAAGATGTTCCAGTGCATTCACTGTCAAATATTCTAAGATGCTCCCATGATGTGAGCTGTCATTAGTACCGACAATAGCATAGAGAGATCGATATGGACGAGGTCCCCATCTCCACTGACAGCACTACCAACTCTGAGATGCCCAGTAAAGCAGAATTCCATCAGGCCGGTGACCTGGCTATATTGTAAGTCTCTGCCCCTCAGAACTGGGATCACAGCACCAAGTGATGGCCAGCCAAGGAGTAGTTCCCCACAATTATGTTATGCCCCTCTGATGTCAAATTAGGGACTGAACAGTGCATCGGACAGGGTTTCTCTGCACTCTTCCCTAGGTCCATATGGGACCCAATATCAATAGGGTCTGAGAATGTACCACCAGATGTGGCACCATCACTGTCTTTGTATGTTCACCCCCAAGCCCTATGTGAACACAGTGACCATACTAGGACCCCTCGGTGGTGCATCAATAGCCTGCCCCCAAAGGCACTGAGTATCATCTGAGAGCCCCTTAGCTCTAGCATCGCAAGCCTGAGAACCTTGTGAAATGGAGGCGCAAGAGGTGGACACAAAGGAGGAGATCACACCCAAAGTACTGTATCCTCTTTTTTGCTGGACAAGTGGTCATGCCGTTGCCACGTTCCACGGTGGATTACTTCCACTTGTTCCAAGATCTGGTGAAGTGAGTGGCAGGCATTCTCCACATATTATTGCAGGAGGTTAAAGGTATGCACCACCAGCTTTTTGACATCTTCCTTGCCTCATCTACCTCCATAATTGCTCTCTCAATCAGTGAGGCCATTTATACCCTGCTAGTGTGGTATGTCAGACCCAGCCTCGGTGGCCCCAACATGCAAGCAGATGGACAAAAAATACTGTCTCCACTAAGGAATCACAGTTCCTATTCACCCACCCGCCATCCAGTTCCATCAAGGTAAAGTTAGTGAATTCTTGTGTGCATTCTTATGTGTCACTCCAAGACATCACCCTATGACAGAGATGGGAAGCACCTGAGTCTCTTTGGTAAGAAAGCATATTCCTTGGTCACCTTACAATTTTGAATTGCCAAATACCAGGTACTCTCGGCAAAGTATGATTACACGGATTATAATAAATTGTTATTGATAAGCTGCTGGAGAGCTCCCAGAACTCCTTCAAGGCCTTATCTAAGAAGGGGAACTGCTGGGAAAAAACATCTTTGCAAAAGACACTGACCCAGCTGACGTGGCTGCCAAGTTCATCTCCACAGTTAGTGATGAGATGGGCACTGTGTCTTTACCTCTTGAGATTCCTGAAAGAGTTGCAGACCACAGGTGACAACCTCTTTTCGGATGAGATGAAGTTCTTCACTGAGAAAACTGATCTTTTTCCTCTCCTTGAAGGATTCCAGGGCCACATTCAGGTACTAGGAATCAATACCCTGGGGCAAGAGAGACACTTTATCCCTCAGTACCAACAGAGGCATTATTTGTCCAAAATCCCATCACAATGGCACTATAATCCCCAGAGAAGAAACAGAAAGTTCTCAAAACAAAAGCCTTCAATTGTCATTCTTTGACCCAACCACATGCCTCTAAGCTTCACTTTTGGCAGGCAGTTGGAGGCAATGCAAGAATACTCCCCACTACTACGTGTGACTGCACCATGGGACAGCATTGTGCAGTGCCTGGAAGCTCATAGCGTTGGACAGATTGGTCCTAGAAATCACCAGATCCAGATATTTAATTCACTTCACCTTCCCTCCCTCCCTCCGCAACACCTTTCTTCTTTCCTCTTCAGGGGCCCTTCTCTCAGAACTCTATTGGAACCACAGAACCAGTACCTCAACATCTGTGAGGCAAGAGGTTCTACTCTTGCTAATTTCTGATACCCAAAATGAAGGAAGGTTGGAGGCCCATTCTCAGAGCTCTCAACTAGTTTGTCAAAGCCAGAAGTTCAGGGTGGCTTGCTATTAATGATCATTCTGTGACTAAAATAGGGTAATTGGTTTTTAGCCTTTAACCTACAAGATGCCCATTTTTACATATCAAAGTACTACCAGCTCAGACATTTCTTCAGGTTCACTGTGGGAAACAACCGTTACTAATACATTATCCTTGCCTTCATACTTTCATTGCTTGCTAACAGCATCCGAATTAAAATATTGTCCTATTCCTACTGAAGGAAACCCTATATTGATATTGATGTTGAGGTTAAATTTAAATCTTAAGTTAAGAGTTCTGTGTGTAGAGCTTGTTATCCTAAAAGGAAAATAAATGTGACGGTGAAAATGTTTTTGAAAAAGAAACCTGGTTAAGTTATTGCTCGTATATTGATCACAGGATTTCTTGTTTGTTCAGAAGCCACTTACTCTTTACTTACCAAGTGGTGACGTGTTCATACAAGGAAAGTTTCACCTTCAATTCATCTCTCTGACATAGATTGTACCCAATTTTTTGCATCTTTTAAACTACAGTACAAGATATAGATTTCCCTTTTGATCCTTGAATTGAAAAGGCTTTTGATTTGAATGCAACTTTATCACAAGCACATTTTAAATTACTGTTTTGAAAATGAATGCCACCAAAACTATGATCACCTAGTGTCCAGACACCAGATCACTATTTATTTTGAATGTTTACGTTTCTGAAGCAGTTGTTGTAACACAAGATCTTATTACCCAGCATGCCCTTATGATGTGTCACTCAACACAGTCTCTTTGAATTCACTATATATATAAATTCCCTGCTGATTATGTCTGGAAAAGAAGTATGCTGTTTCTGGAGCAATAGGGAGCAGCTATGTTTACTCTAAGCTGAGTTGCATAATAAAAATAGAATAAACTGCTGTCTAACAAGTGTCTGTTACTTTTTTGATTTTTGTACTACATTACTAACATAACTTCATACATGAATAAGAACATTAAAATTAAAATCAGCATCATAAAGTTGTGAAATTAGCAGTACCCTAAAACAAATTGGCACTACTAAACATATTTTTCCTCTGCTCTTTACAATAATAGCACAACTCTCTGATACTAATTTGTGCATTAGTATGAGCATCGTGCTATTATTGTGAAGAGCCAGAAGCACGTTATGTTTAGTTGTGTAAATTTGCCCACATATTCCCGTTAAAAATCTCTTTACTCATTGGATTTTTACAGCATACCTGCTTTATTAAAAAACGTTTTCTTTTCCAAAGCATCCTATTAATATTTGCCTACTCTTACACATTTTTCATTTACTGATTTTGCTTGCTTTATGTTGTTTGTATGGCATCAGTGTCACCATCTTTATTTCAATGAATTGTATTTGTTCTTGTAAAAATCCTAAGATGTTTTTATTTATTTACTAGGAGATGTAGTTACAGTCAATGAAGCACAGATGTCTGTTCCTGCTCAGAATCTAACAGCCCTCCAAGGTACAGTTGCTATGGCAACTCATAGTATCTCTTTGCTTGCAGCATTATCATTGGTCTATCAAGGAACCCCCCACTGATTTCATCTGTGATGTTTCCATTTCCAGTTCTTATTAACTCACTGTCCTCATCCATCCACTGAGTGGCACTGTTGCTCAGAACAAAAGAGGTTTCCCTTCAATTCATTAACATGATGATGTTGAATGTGCTGTGATACTGATTTACATTCACCATTGGCCAGTATCTCTGTCTACTAAAAATTTGATTTATCTTGTATTTTGTAGTTAATTTCACACTTTGTTGATATTCCGATGTTCTTTTTTGTTACATATATTCACTATGATAATCTTTAAATGAGGCATTATGGAGCAGGAGCTTACTGTAATATGCAGGAGATGCATTTTGGTAGCTTACTTAAAGTGACAACTTAGCCGCCAGAATCTGAAATATTAAGATACAAATATCTGTGTGTTGAGTTTTTTAAATAATTTGGAAAAACTGAGTTTAAAAACTTGATATCAGTTATACTATTGGTAAAGAAAGGGGAATTGTGCCATAGTTTATATGAACTTTGAAAATAATTAGCAAAGGAAATCAAGTTAAGAAACAGCACCTGTAAAAAACATTCTTTTTCAAATTTCAGTACTGTAATATCCCAGTTACTGCAAATGTCGTATTGTAGATGAGCAGGTCTGAGTTCTCTTCATTTCTCCTTAACATCCTGTTTTGCTTTGGCTTTTATGGCTTAGTCCTCACTTGGTTATCATCCTCTTCTCCTTTTTGTTGACCTGCAGATTGCTCTCTCCTGAGTCTTTATCTTGCACCATTCTTTATCCCTAAACAGCCTTGTCAACTCACATAGATTGAACTACAACCTTCATGCTGACTGCTGACAAATCAACTTCTCTACAGCTGTTCTCTTTTCCTGCTGCTCAGTCCCCGATTTCACTGTGGACTTCCAGTGTTTGTTTCTATATGGCCCATCTGAAATTCAACCTTAGTAAAGCTAAAAACAAACTGTTTTTCTTTCTTCCTAAATCTCTCCACTTTCCCTCACTGAAATTATTGCCACCACCCTCTAGGCCCCTGGAAAGTAACCTTTGCCCTTTTACTCCTATTGTTCCCACATATCCAGTGTGATAGGGTGTAGTGAGCTGGGGTGGCCGTTCACTGAAACAGAGGGGGAAGAACCCCTCTCTAAGCCCGGATGGGCTGAGCCTAGTCCTGCCTCTTTAACTCCCCAGGAATCAAGGGTCGGGGTAAGTGGTATAAAAGCCCAGTACAGGAGCTTAATAGGGCCCCAGACACCAGAGGAAGCAGAAGCCTGCACTGAGCTCCTGAAGCAGGAGGCCACTGAGGACCTTACTGAGGCTGAGGTCTGGTTCAGACTGCTAAGCCCCTACACCAAAGAGGAGACCCTTTTTACCCTGCCCGAGGGATCAGATGCCGATGCTCCCAAGGACCTGCAGCCACTGTGGAGAAAGGTAGACAGTGAAGGGGAGTTAGGAACTGGCCTGGCATAACCGATGACTGTCAGACTGACTTTATAGTATTTTAGAGTGTGTCAGCATGTTGCGGGCCAGATCCTTGCTGACCCCAATGGCAGTGTGGGCTGCCACTGCTAGGACCCTGGACCTGGTAGAGAGGGCCCACATCCCCTCTGCCACCCCACATACCAGATGGCAGTCTTGCTCTCTCTTGCCAGTGATTGCTGTCTGTTTGCCTGCCCCACCCTGGGCCTAATTGTACTGTGAACGACAGTTGTTTGTGTCTGCCCCACCCTGCACTGGAGCCTGGGCCTTCTTGAACTGACACTTTCTATTTGTCTGTCTGACCTGCCTTGAATCAGGGCCTGGGCCTATGTGCCTTGGGAACTGTCGGTGTTTGCCTGCCCTGCCCTGTACCAGAGTCTGGGCCTTCCTGTGAGCTGTGGTTGTCTACCTGCCTGCCCTGCTCCAGGGCCTGGGCCTGGGCCTACCTAAACTGCAGTCTGCTGTTTGTTTGTCTGCCCTGTCCTGCGCTAGGGCCTGAGCCTACTGAGACTAAGAACTTTTGTTTGCTTGTCTGCCCCACCCTGCGCCAGGGACTGGGCATGAGTGAATTGGGAACAACTGGGCATCTGTTTGCCCTGCCACAGGGCTGGGCCCCATGTAAAGACTGGGCTCTGTGGTTTTTGTTTGACTGCTCCACCCTATACTCAGGGCCAGATCTTAAAAGGGGGACCACTGAGCATCTGTTGATAAGCCCAGAGCACAAGTCTGGGGCCCAGGACTGAGCCAGGTGGTTTACAAAGGGTCAGAGCAGAAGGCTATAAAAAAGTAGTGGAGGGGAGATATATAAACCTCAGACTGAGGAGATCCCTGCACCTAGAATAACAGGGAGGGGCTGTTTTAGAATCAGCAGAGGCAATCAGGGGCAGTGGAACACCTGGGGCTAATTGACCAGGCCTGTAGAATCAGGCCAACCTAGCCCAATTAGGACACCTGGGGTAATTAAGAAAACCAATTAAGACTGGCTATAAAAGAAGTAGCCTGCAGCTGGGAGGAAAGCACTGCTGGGAGTAGGAGGAAAGGAGATCACAACTAGGAGGATGAATGAGAGAGAAGGAAGGTGTGGGGAAGCCTAGGAGTCTTGGGGCTGTCTTCTAGCAGGTGTCGGGGATTCACACAAGCAGCTATATCACAGGGCTCTGGGCTGAAACCTGGAGTAGTGAGTGTGCCTGGGTTCCCCCCAACACCCACCTCCCCATTTCCACTCAGGGAAAAGAACTGTGGAGTTTATTTTCCATTTTACCATGCACTGGCTAATGATGAAAAGAGCTCAACAAACAGCAAACTAAAGCCCTAAGTCTGGTGACTAAAATTGTGGCCCGCTTTGAGTCTCTGAGGCAAGCAAATCTGCCAGGAAGCACAGGACCAAGTCGCTGTAGGAGCATTGTCACACCAGGCATTATCTAAATCCTGCTGCTTCTTCCTCCAGAACAGACAGAAAATCAGAAATTTTCTTTTGGTCCTGAAACTCTCATATGTTCATAACTGTTCTTGTCCCATCTTGATCATCACAACCTCCTTCTCTCATACTTGTCATTCTCTTCAATAACTTCAGAATGCAGTCACTAATATTCTCTCCCCTGCTCACCAGTCTGTCATCCCCTTTCTGAGTCTGTCTCCTGGCTTCCCACTGTACACTGCATTCAGTTTAATCTCTTATTTTTGCCTTCAAAGCTCTGCACACCTCCACCCAAACTCTTTCACCAACCATGCTGACCATCATATACAGCTTAGTTTCTTCTCTCAACCCAGCATGTGTGCTTTATGCCATGGGTACAGAAATAGAGCCTTTGTGATAACAGGACCATGCAGAATATTGACTGCCTTTAGCAGCAGGCAAATAGTGTTGTGGGAGCACCACTACTGGCATTGGGAGGATGTGCTGGCTGGAGTACTCTCCATTTTGACTTGGTATCCCTTATCTCGATGCATCCATGCACATATATATACGCGTAGACTTTCTATATGGTAGTGTGCTCAGACTATTCTTTCTTTTAGTATTGCATAGCTTTTTCTTTTCATCAATACATTATTTTAATGCTTTTTACCTTGAGCTTTCTGAAGTGTGGTGTGTCTAGATATAAGACGTATCATTCTAGAAGGCTGGACTGTCAATATGCTATTTTCAGCTCCTTTTAATAATGTTGGAGTGTATTGATTTTAGATTGAGTAGCAGAGGGGAGAATGGTGTTGGGATTAAGTGATGCTGCAAGGTTGCTAGCTGAAGTACTAGAGAAGAATGGGCTCTATTTAGCTAGCCAGAGTAGTCTTGTTACTATATATAGTTCTGTTTGTCATCTTCTCATGCATTTTGGCTGCACATTGTAGGTAGATGTTATGTTCCTTATTTATTTGTTTTGATTCTGCTTGATTTTCCAAAATAGTATGCTTCTTTAGATGTTCTCATTGTGATTACCCATCTGTGGGGCAAGTGTACTATGCCATTAGTTGGAAAGTGTGGTGGAACACGCTATAAAGTCCCAACTGTCCTTTTGAATTTACTTTTGCTGAGGTCCTGAAACCTGTGCAGTGCTGGCAATAATCAAATGTGTTCCTCCAACAAAAAATTAAGATGTTTAAGTTTTTAAAAATGGACACAGGTGGAATAAATCTGAAATAGTTGACATGAGCATTATGGTAAGACTATGGTTTCTACAATGCAAGGTGCTGAGGGAGGTACAACTCTGCCAAATTTTTGGACTGATCGCATTGGAGTCTGCTGTTTGAATGGGTCATGTTTTATTAGTCAAAGCTTGTTTTTGATTTGTTTTCTCTAATTTTAAATTTGGCAGCCTTTCTGATCATTGGGGATAGTCTGATTTAATTAATGGTGATTTGCCACTCTCTTACAATTCTTGATATGTGCACACCTTTGACAGGTAATTCTTGATCTTTCCAATAATTGTCAGTACTGCAAGCAGTGCCCTCAGCAATGGAGTTAGACACAGAATTTAATGGCTATGACATTCTTTCGAATTGTTCAAATTGGTGTGCAAGTCCTGCCATTGAGAGTCTTTTTTTCATGGTCAAGTGTCCATGTTTGAAAATCATTGCTATATATTTATGCTAATGATTTTTTCCGTTTAGAACTTTCTGTATTTTAGCTGTCATAGAATTTCATGTAACTTTTTCTAGTTGTCCTTTACTTATCCATTTGTATTGAATAGGTATTTGATTGTTCAAATCTCTTGATTTCATTTAAGTACAGTAATTCCTCTGTAGAACAATGTTATTGTCCAGTCCACTGAGCTCCTTGCTGTAGCTTTTCTGCTGTCAGAGTATGCAAGTCATTTATAAGTATTGATTTATTTTAATCTTTCAGTAAACTGTGATCCTTTTTTTTTTTTTTTTTTACAATGGGTACTTAAGAACACTCGGGAGGGAGGGTTGGCATGAGTGGGTAAAGTCCCACCCCTTCTGCTCCAGGCCCCATCCATGGAGCCAAGCTTCATGTAGCATGGACACTCTAATTGACTATTCTTTTTCCTTCTTTTTCCTTCTTCCCCCACCCAATACTCTATTCATTTAGAAACTGGACCTTTAATAACTCCATTCATCTGAAGAAGTGGGTTGTGCCCACAAAAGCTCATGATACCATCTACATGTATCACTAGTCTCTAAGGTGCTACTAGATTATTAGTTGTTTAAGTTTTTCTAAAGGAGATTGTTTAAGAACTTGAAGGTTATTTGAGTGAAAGCTATGGATGCTTTTTAGTTGTCACTATGTTAGATTTTTTTTTTGTATTGGTGTAGTTTTTTATTTGTATATTACCCAAGAGAGCATCATAGGCCACTTTATAAACTAAATTGCTAAAGAAAACATTCATAAATAAAAAAAAGAGGAAATGAGACCAGTTATCTTTTGTAGAACTTCAACCACCATCTCCTAAATTCATATAGATCCCTAATAGGATACCAAATCCCCAGGAGCCCTGACCGCTCTGTGAAATTGGGGAGAGGGGTGGCTCCATCTTCACACATCCCTGGACCAGCCTCCACCTGCTTCTGGGCCCCACCCCCAGGCCCACGTGCCTGCCACATGGCTTTGCTCTGTGCACCCTGGCCTGGCCCCAGCGCTTGGGGGCCACACTGCAGGTCTCTCCACATGCAAGAAGCATCTGTTTTAGAGAGGATGGTGAGTGCAGAAATGGAGGCAGGAGGATCAAATTAAAGTACAGGTAACCGGGGGGAGGGGCAGCCAGGGCTGGCCCAGCCTCAGCCCTGCCAACATTGGGGCATTCAGGGGGAAGCCAGGATTGGCCTGCTCTCAGCCCTGCCCAATGGCTGGGTGGGTGGCAGAACCAGGGCTTGACCTACCCTTGGCCCAAATGCTGGTGGGAGGAGGAGCAGGCTCGGGTTGCTATGCCTCAGCCCGGTCCTCCCCAGCGCCAGAGCTGGGGCTGCCTCTCCCAGGAGAGAAGGGGGTTGGTGAGCACAGTGATCAGGGGACACAGCGAGCCATTATATTTTCAAAATGGTTTGAGCAACAGCCATTACAAAGTAGAAGCATAATGTTGTACTTGAGTATTAATATTGTTACATCCATTTTTTGAAATAAATAGCTTTTCTCTCTTTTTCAAATTACTTCAATACAGGTCTATTGTTACTTTGCCACCATTTTCTGAGTCTTGTCCACAACTCATCCACAATTATTTAATAGTCATTCTGCAATTTAGCAGGGCCTTAATCTCTCTCTGTATATTAAAAAAAAATCCTGTGGGACAGCAAAGTGACATCATCATGTCACAGCATCTACACGCTCGGGGGGAGGGTTGGCATGAGTGGGTAAAGTCCCACCCCTTCTGCTCCAGGCCCCATCCCTGGAGCCATGCTCCACCCACAGCCAGCCCGGCTCTCTCCAACAGCCACATGGAGAGCCAGGCTGGCCTGTCTCAGCCTGGCCTTCCCCGGACACAGTGGGGGCCCGGGCTGGTCAAGCAACAGGGAGAAGAGGCTTGGGCTGGCTCATCTGCACCATGGCCCTCCCTGGTGGCTGAGGGGAAAGCTGATCCATAATGTATTGTGGCATTTTATAACTTTTTTTCACTGCAGTAGTATTTAACTTTCCTTTCACGTTAGTATTTTGGGTTCCTCATACTAAATCTCCTTTACCATATATACCTTTTTTTAAAAGTAAAAAGCTTTTAAAAAATCCTAGGTCTGCTTTTATCCTCTGTTCTAATTCATCTTTCAGCACCAGTGACAGTACAGTATTAGATGAAAACTGGCATGTTGTTTTTGTTACAGGACTATTAAACTAATACTTTAAACAATATTAAAGACCATCCTGTTGACCTAAATAAAAGTTCTTTGTTTCTTTTCAGAGCTAACACAATTGGTAGTATAGTAATTGTCATTTTGCATCACATCAGTGGGACATCTAATCCAATATCATCTTTCTGATAGCAGCCAGCACCAGATGCTTTGGAGGAGGGCATAAGAAACCCCACAGTAAACTGCCCCCTTTAAAGGCCTCATCCTAATCTCTGTTTGTTTGTTTTTTGTCGATTGGTTAAACCCCGAAGCAGAAGATTTTTATATTCCTTCCCAAAACGTGTTTACATTAAATGTAATTCCTTTTAGCCTTCAGTCCTATCAATAGAAATGTCCAGACTTTTTTTAAATCTTGTTAAGTTCTTGGCCTGAACATTGTCCTGTGGCAATTATGTATTGTGTGAATAGATTTTCCTTTTCAGTTTTGAATTTGCCACTTATCAATGTCATTGAATGTCTCATTCTTCCTGAGTGATATGAAATGGGGACATGAAAACCTCTTGATCTACATCCTCTATATTATTCAGGGCCTTGGGGATGTGGGAGGGGAATGCAGAAGGCTGAGTGCAAGAGTAAGGGTTGAATGGTGAGGAGGGGCTAAACATGGGCCTTTTCTTCCCACTTTCTTCCTCCTCTCCTCCCCTCTCCCCCCCCCC